TTCTATAATTGTGTCTATAATGACGGTACTCGACGAGTTAAAATCAGTCATACTTAAACTTAAAGAGAAAATGTCAACATAGATTCAAAATTTCAACCAGACAGAAACACATAATTATTATTAAATTAAATTATAAATTAACTATATAGCGATAATAATATGTCTTACTACAATAAAATCAAAAAATATTGCTTTCCAATTTATTGGCGACTACTTTATTTTAATAGCAATGTTTATTATTGTTACTAATAGGTATTATAAAAACAAAAGTAAGTCTGTGTTATTTTCATGTTGTAACATATGTTATTTCGTGGTATAATTTGTGTCTAGAAATAATGAGATTCTCACCCCCTATTACATAGGACTCATAACATAAATACTGAAAAGTGGGTGTTACATTGTATAGTGGCATAATGCGCAACTCTGCCTACCCCTTCGGGAATAAAAGGCGTGATGTTTAAATAATGGGACTGGAAAATTTTCTTTTTGAGAGATTCATAACTTAACATAACATCTATCCCCGAAGAAGTAGGCAGAGGTGCACATTATGGCAATGTAACACCCACATTTCATCACTATTTATGTTATAAGTCCCATGTAATAGGGGGCGAGCCTATTGCCATATACCGGGCACAATTCCAGACTTCGTGCTACTACTGCGAATTTTTTACTTGCCGAACATCCAAGACCCCTTGCCGAACAGTCGCACTTGCGACGGCTGGAAATCAATTCAAGATGTTATTTGGTGATGCTATTTGGTGTACCTTGACATGCAGGTGCCCGTCAACACAAATAGTTTTCAACCAGGATTCGAATCGGTTTAATAGCAGTACATATTAGCAGTCTGCCAGTAAAATTACGATTTCTAAACTTGGATTAAAGGTTTTTGGGAAACATCAAAGGTGTAGTTGCTTTGTCCACGTGATTCATAGGACATTACTGTAGTGTATTAAACATTACTTCCTTTCGTAATTAGGTGGGGTGATTCTCACTAAAGTCTGGTAGTCTGAGGATAGAGATGTTCTCATTGGTCTGAGGAATGCGCGGCTGGGCAACTGGCTGCCGCGCAACGTGTCTCAGGCTCGATTTCCGCACGGAACAACTCTTTGTGTGATCCACAAATTGTTGTTTCTGGTCTGGGTGTCATGTGTATGTGAACTTGTATGTTTGTAAACGTACCCACGACACAGGTAAAATCCTAGTGTAGGGTAACGTTTTTAAAAAAGAAATAATGTGAAAGCATGTTTTAGATGTGATCGGTCCGTTTCTCGGATCAGGTAGACTATTCTGTAAATTTGAATTCGAAAGATGGAAGAGAACTAGATCGCGGTTGTGTAAATAATCCCGACCAATCACGGATGAGAATCCACTCGAGGTAACTTCAAGAGTTCGAACTGACATCTTACAGACTAGCCTACCAGGTAGACCCATGATTTTAATTTTCAGAAATTCTAATTAGGAGCATGAAATGGGAATGGTATCTGCTTACCTCGTTTACTGTACTAAGAAGCCTTTCTAACATGGCACTCATACTTTAGCATAACCGTCTATTAATTTTGACACTGAATACGTGCACTTCTGTCTACCTTTATTAAAACAAACGATAACTTCACCCCAAATTTCCCCTTGCCCTGTAAAATACCAAACCTATAAGTCTATCAAACCCATAAGTAAACCCATAATCAACCTTATTACACCTAGTCGCATTGTACATACAAAATTACGCCTTGTCCAGTAAGGGTAGACAGACTCCGAAAAGCGCTAGGAAGGACAAACCAAATCAACAATCAACTCTAACGTCTATATGATAAAGTTCATATTTAATTAAACAACTAATTACAAAAAAATTCTCATGTGACATCGAAGACTAAATTAGTAAAAACCCACTCTAGTACCTAAATAATACAGTTCTTATTTAAGCAAAGGTTAATATTAGACAATTTTTACCATGACAGCCAAGACTGAATTAACAAAAACCAACTCTAGATACTACAAAATAGAGCTGTTATTCAAACAAAGCGGTTGCCATAGAGACGGTTGATCGTGTAAGACCCTTTTTCAGTGTGAAACCGGTGTAGTGCGGTGTGGTATTGATTTTCGCGTTCACAGCTGAAGAAACGAGTTCTAAGTAGAAAATTCAGTGAGTGGACTGAAAAATGTGTAAAAAATAGCTTTAAGACTGTAATATTTCTTATACTTGCTGTTCTGGTCATGAGGTTTAGGGACAATACATAAACAAAGTGGCACAGATAAAAAAGCGCTCAAGTACCATAGATTATACAATGCTGAGTAGATAAACGTTATTCCAATTTGTCAAATTTATTAATTGGATTTTCGACTTCATGTCAAAACAATAAAGTTGAAGATATAATAGAAAAAAGTGACAGCATAGGATAGTTTGGGCTGTTATAAGGTGCTGCTATGCGTCCGGTGCATTTTTTTTAAGTGGGGAAAGTCATTGAGTGACTTCTCCCGCCTTAGCGTCAGACTCTTACTGACTAAAAACCACCCCGTTCCTTCTCCTGCCCTTCGAGCCGGAGCCCCAGTTACCCGTTAAGTCCTCCGCGGCTCCGTATCGCCATCAGCCCTTTTAGGCCCCATCCGCATCCAGTACTACTCCGGTATATTTTGATTTTAAAGAAGATGTTAAAATTTAGACTACTTTAAATAAAACAAGTGAACAGGCTTTGATTCATTCCATGTTCATTGTTGTCAGAGCGTACTGCCGCTGTTGGTTGGGTAGTAAATCATTAAGGACTAAGAATAACACGGTTTCAGGTTCTGACTTGGATTAAAGCCCCTTTCTGATCTAATTGAAATATTTTGGCTTTGACATTGAAGAGAGAATTGATAAGTTTCTAGCAGTATTAGTCTTAATTCCAATGTTATCCAGATATCTTGTGTTTCAGTTGAAAGACGTCATCAAGGATTTTTATTTATATAGTATCATTATTTCAAATTGTAAGTGTACATATGTGGGCGCCATGTTTGAAACAGTCATTGATAGCTTTCAGGAGTTGATTCCGGAGTCCCAATATACTTTGACGTTGTATTGTCGTTACATCGTTCACACATAATATATACTTTAGGCAAAGATAAGGTATTAATGAGACTGTATAAAACATTTTTTTAAAGAGTAACAATGGAGTTTCTTGCTCGTTCTTCTCTATTCGAAACTACACCTTGGAACGAGCGCCTAGCTTCACTGACAGACGGACGGACGAACAATTCAATTTTTGACGTTTCAAAAGTGCCGAATTAAGTTATAATTGAAATATATGCCTTTACTTTGACTTTAAATGAAAAAAAAAATAGTTTAAAAACACATAAATTGTTTGTTAGATAGAAGACCCCGGGAAAAAAAACTGATAATATGTAAGTAGTTAATTCGCGTTATATTTTGTGACCTTGACTTAAAACGATTACAGAATGTTACAATTACTTTTGTGAAAATAGTTAAGAATAATATGTCTGTAATGTCATACATTAGTATGTACTTATGTAGATAAGAGCTACATTGTACTTAACTTGAACATTTTCCATAATAAATTAAAATGTAAATAGGTGTATTATCCTTTATTACTTTGGTAGAAAAATAATCCACTGTCTTAAATAGGAATTTATGCGCTATGTACCTACATAGCGCATAAATTAATCGACTACGTTTAAAAAACCGACTTCAATTCAACCCCCTCTTTTTTTGAAGTTGGTTAATTTATATAGCTACTAAGATCTTCTCCTAAGTGTAACAAACACTTTTCTAAAAATCACATCAAAATCGGT